TGTTTGCATTTCCAACAATTGTTTGAAGTATTTTTAAACATTTTCGCTAGCCTCACTGGTGTCATGTGCCATCTGTAAAACATTTTGTATAAGTTTTCTTTATATGGCACTGCTTTAGTTAATTTAATATTTCTTTCCCATAATTTTTGCCACTCTTCTGATTCTATAGTATGTTCAAAATCCCATTTTTATCCTTTGGGTGAGACGTCTGAAAGAAAACGATTACTTCTTCCTAGTCATTTTGGTCAACAGGAACTTGAAAAGGCCTCACCTCTGGTGGGACAAGCTGGTGAGATGCTTGGGCAGCAAAAAGAAGAATCTTGGTAACTTCTGCAACAACAACAACAACAACAAAGGACAGTTGTAATGATGGACCAAAAGATACATCAGTTCCTCAAACAGAAAGGGGAAAAAAAACCCGTTAAGTTTATCATTGATGAATCTTGTTGTTTAGGGCTGTTGGCAACAACTGGCAGTGGTCCTCCATATTTAATCATTTTTCATTTTTAATGTGGGCCAGTGGGCTTAGAGTAAAATTGACAATAAAGGTTATCTTATTTGTCAAATTTAGATACTGCCCATCTGACTGTCCAAGAGACTCTGGGCGGTTTACAGAACCTTCAAATCGTTTTTCAAGCTTCCACATCTTCATCTTCCAATGTGGAAGCTTGAAAAATGATTTGAAGGTTCTGTAAACCGCCCAGAATCGCTTGGACAGGAAGATGGGCAATATCTAAATTTGACAAATAAGAAAACCTTTGTTGCCAATTTTACTGTGAGCACACCGGCCCACGCTAAAAATGAAATTCTGTTTTTGCCTGCTCTCAAAAGAAAATATATATATCTAGTGTCAAGGTTCCGACTGACAAATCAAACCAAGCAAACACCGTTGAGACATTCCGATCTCTTAATGCAGGGGTCTTCAAACTTGGCCCTTTTATGACTGGTGGACTTCAACTCCCAGAATTCCTCAGCCAGCGTGCCCGGCTGAGGAATTCTGGGAGTTGGAGTCCACCAGTCATAAAAGGGCCAAGTTTGAAGACCCCTGTCTTAATGTAAAACTTTATTGAGTACATCACTTCGGCACTCATGAAAGCAAAACCAGCTCTGGCAAGATCCCTCCCAAACCCATGTAGTAAAAGCATTGAATTCTCCCTCCTCCCTCCCTGGGTCAGGTCACGTTGCCCAATCAAGTGGAAAAATATGGTTATGAGAAAGTATCTCTAGGTTTGGCCAGACATCTGGTGTAACGTCCTTGAGTCTCACGATCTGGCTTCTTAATCTTTGAAGTTTGCATTTCAAACTTCTCTCTCCCCCCTCCCCCCCAAGTTTGTTGGCAAGCTGAGAAGCAATATTTGTCACACCAGCAAAACCGTGCTTGACATCAAAATAAATAAATAAATAATAAACTGAATCTTTGGCCTGAAAAGTGACTTGCCATTGAGCAAGGCCATTTTCCAGTATTTTCCAACTTCCTAAAAAAGTTAAACTGGTGATGGAGAACGCTCTTGAGAGATCCTTGGACTGCAAGGAGATCCCATCCGTCAATCCTAAAGGAAATTGACCCGGATTGTCCTTTGGAAAGACAGACACCGAAGCTGAAGCTCAAATACTCTGGTCACCAAAGGAGAAGAAAGGACTCGTTGGAGAACATCCAGATGTTGGGAAAGATGGAAGGCAAAAAAAAAGAAGAAGGGGATGGCAGAGAATGAGATGGTTAGATAATTTCATTGACGCAATGAACGTGAATTTGGCCAAACACTGGGAGACACTGAAGGATTATGGGGATGTGGGGTGCTGTGGTCCACAAAGTGTCATGGTTCCGAAAGATGAAACTCTTCAAAGAACTTTGAGGCATTGTTTACCTTAAAGAATCTTTAATTGAGCAACATAGCTTCGGTATGTACATAGTTGAAGCCAAAATCTGACTTCCCCTCCCTTCAGCACATAGATCAAAGCACAATTCCCTCCTACAACTAACTGTCATAAATCACATTTTCCAATTAGTTTGAAATGCTGGCTTCCTGCCCAGTTCGTTATTTCACCATGCTTTATCAGCTCTTGTTGCAAGATATTGTATGTCTTAACTAATTCCCATCACATTCCTTCCCCTCCCCCAGTATCATCTAATTCTAAGAGTACAGTATAAGAAAGAAAAGGGCTGCATCTCCATCTGTTGTCAAAGCAAGAACATCCAATGTTAGCAGCACGGACACAAAGAGTCAGACACAACTTAGCGACTGAACGACAACACAACACTTTGCAGCATTTTTATTGGCAAATGAGCGTCTGCTTTTATCGGTTTGTGTGTCTCTTCTTTCGAAATCAAGGCTGTTACCAAAATAAAATAAAATGGGTCAAAGAAAGAAGCTTTTCATTTTTCCAGAAAGCTTCTGAAGTAAAGACAGGAGCTTTTCACTGCTGCTCATAAAACCGAGCAATATTTTCAGCCAGCGTAGGATTCATGCCCCTCCTGGCTGGTACTGGCAGCCAGGGAGGGGACACGAGCCTGGTTCCAGGGAATCGTTAACGCCTCTTTGCAGGAGGGTGTCTTCCCGGCAACCCTAAAGGAAGCCGTGGTGAGGCCCCTCCTCAAGAAGCCTTCCCTGGATCCAGACGAGTTGGCCAATTATCGCCCGGTCTCCAACCTTCGCTTTACGGCGANTGTTTGCATTTCCAACAATTGTTTGAAGTATTTTTAAACATTTTCGCTAGCCTCACTGGTGTCATGTGCCATCTGTAAAACATTTTGTATAAGTTTTCTTTATATGGCACTGCTTTAGTTAATTTAATATTTCTTTCCCATAATTTTTGCCACTCTTCTGATTCTATAGTATGTTCAAAATCCCATTTTTATCCTTTGGATGAGACGTCTGAAAGAAAACGATTACTTCTTCCTAGTCATTTTGGTCAACAGGAACTTGAAAAGGCCTCACCTCTGGTGGGACAAGCTGGTGAGATGCTTGGGCAGCAAAAAGAAGAATCTTGGTAACTTCTGCAACAACAACAACAACAACAAAGGACAGTTGTAATGATGGACCAAAAGATACATCAGTTCCTCAAACAGAAAGGAAAAAAAATCCGTTAAGTTTATCATTGATGAATCTTATTGTTTAGGGCTGTTGGCAACAACTGGCAGTGGTCCTCCATATTTAATCATTTTTCATTTTTAATGTGGTCCAGTTTGCTTAGAGTAAAATTGACAATAAAGGTTATCTTATTTGTCAAATTTAGATACTGCCCATCTGACTGTCCAAGAGACTCTGGGCGGTTTACAGAACCTTCAAATCGTTTTTCAAGCTTCCACATCTTCACCTTCCAATGTGGAAGCTTGAAAAATGATTTGAAGGTTCTGTAAACCGCCCAGAATCGCTTGGACAGGAAGATGGGCAGTATCTAAATTTGACAAATAAGATAACCTTTATTGTCAATTTTACTGTGAGCACACCGGCCCACGTTAAAAATGAAATTCTGTTTTTGCCTGCTCTCAAAAGAAAATATATATATCTAGTGTCAAGGTTCCGACTGACAAATCAAACCAAGCAAACACCCTTGAGACATTCCGATCTCTTAATGCAGGGGTCTTCAAACTTGGCCCTTTTATGACTTGTGGACTCCAACTCCCAGAATTCCTCAGCCAGCGTGCCCGGCTGAGGAATTCTGGGAGTTCGAGTCCACAAGTCATAAAAGGGCCAAGTTTGAAGACCCCTGTCTTAATGTAAAACTTTATTGAGTACATCACTTCGACACTCATGAAAGCAAAACCAGCTCTGGCAAGACCCCTCCCAAACCCATGTAGTAAAAGCATTGAATTCTCCCTCCTCCCTCTGGGTCAGGTCACGTTGCCCAATCAAGTGGAAAAATATGGTTATGAGAAAGCATCTCTAGGTTTGGCCAGACATCTGGTGTAACGTCCTTGAGTCTCATGGTCTGGCTTCTTAATCTTTGAAGTCTGCATTTCAAACTTCTCTCCCCCCCCCCAAGTTTGTTGGCAAGCTGAGAAGTAATATTTGTCACACCAGCAAAACTGTGCTTGACATATAAATAAATAAATAAATAAATAAATAAATAAATAATAAACCGAATCCTTGGCCTGAAAAGTGATTTGCCATTGAGCAAGGCCATTTTCCAGTATTTTCCAACTTCCTAAAAAAGTTAAACTGGTGATGGAGAACGCTCTTGAGAGATCCTTGGACTGCAAGGAGATCCCATCCGTCAATCCTAAAGGAAATTGACCCAGATTGTCCTTTGGAAAGACAGACGCCGAAGGTGAAGCTCAAATACTCTGGTCACCAAAGGAGAAGAGAGGACTCGTTGGAGAACATCCAGATGTTGGGAAAGATGGAAGGCAAAAAAAAAGAAGAAGGGGATGGCAGAGAATGAGATGGTTAGATAATTTCATTGACGCAATGAACGTGAATTTGGCCAAACTCTGGGAGACACTGAAGGATTATGGGGATGTGGGGTGCTGTGGTCCACAAAGTGTCATGGTTCCGAAAGATGAAACTCTTCAAAGAACTTTGAGGCATTGTTTACCTTAAAGAATCTTTAATTGAGCAACATAGCTTCGGTATGTACATAGTTGAAGCCAAAATCTGACTTCCCCTCCCTTCAGCACATAGATCAAAGCACAATTCCCTCCTACAACTAACTGTCATAAATCACATTTTCCAATTAGTTTGAAATGCTGGCTTCCTGCCCAGTTCGTTATTTCACCATGCTTTATCAGCTCTTGTTGCAAGATATTGTATGTCTAACTAATTCCCATCACATTCCTCCCCCGCCCCCAGTATCATCTAATTCTAAGAGTACAGTATAAGAAAGAAAAGGGCTGCATCTCCATCTGTTGTCAAAGCAAGAACATCCAATGTTAGCAGCACGGACACAAAGAGTCAGACACAACTTAGCGACTGAACGACAACACAACACTTTGCAGCCCAGATTTTTATTGGCAAATGAGCGTCTGCTTTTATCGGTTTGTGTGTCTCTTCTTTCGAAATCAAGGCTGTTACCAAAATAAAATAAAATGGGTCAAAGAAAGAAGCTTTTCATTTTTCCAGAAAGCTTCTGAAGTAAAGACAGGAGCTTTTCACTGCTGCTCATAAAACCGAGCAATATTTTCAGCCAGCGTAGGATTCATTTCCATAAGAACCACAGAAAAAAACCCCCATAATTTGTGCTTTTCTTTGGATCCGAGTAATTTGTTTTCTCGCTCCGAGTTCTGAAATGGCTGCCAAAGGCCAGAAAGAAACGAGACAACATCAGGGAACGCAAAGCAGAGTAAACAAAATTCTCTTTGTTTTTTTTTGGCAACTGGTAGCCTCAAAGCAAAGAGAAATAAGGAGGTTGGGAAGAATGGACTAAATTGACGCCACTTACCTCTTTGGTGGGGCTGCAGAAATCGTTGTATAAAAGGGTAAAAGTTGAAGAGGAAAAGCTGTGGAAACACAGAGGGTTGTCAAGAGGTCAGCTACGAATGAAATGGACGACTGAGTATAAAATAATCCCACCCACCACCAGGGTGACTTTTCAGCAAAGCCAGAGAGAAAAAGCATATGGAACAGACCCCAAAATGCTTCTTCAGAAGGCAACTGGACTTCGTTTTTCCTTGAAGATGTTTCGCTTCCCACCTTCTTCAGAACCGAAGAAGCTTCTTGGATGAGAAGAGAAACATCTTCAAGAGAAAAAAAAAAGTCCAGTTGCCTTTTGAAAAAGCACCTTTGGGACAACCATGACCTGGATGACTGAGAAGCTCCACAATCGTTAGAAAAGGAATCCAGCCTACCAACCTCTAGATGTGTTGACTACAATTCCAACCGTCCCCAGCAGACAGTTGTTGCTTATAATCCAACACATCTGGAAGGCACTTCCTGAGTTAGAACAATTAATCAGTGGAACGACCTGTCCCCAGAAGTTGTGGGTGCTCCATCACTGGAGGTTTTTAAGAGGAGACTGGACAGCCATTTGTCTGAAATGGTATAGGGCAGGGGTAGGCAAGCTTGGCTCTTTTATGACTCGTGGACTTCAACTCCCAGAATTCCTGAGCCAGCATGGCTCAGCTTGGAAACCTCTCCCTTTCCCCTCAGCATGGCTGGCTCAGGAATTCTGGGAGTTGAAGTTCACTCGTCTTAAAGTGGCCAAGGTTGAGAAACACTGTTCTAAGGGACTACATCAGGGGTAGGTGACCTTGGCTCTTTTATGACTGGTGGACTTCAACTCCCAGAATTCCTGAGCCAGCATGGCTCAGCTTGGAAACCTCTCCCTTTCCCCTCAGTATGGCTGGTTCAGGAATTCTGGGAGTTGAAGTCCACGAGTCATAAAAGAGCCAAGGTTGCCTACCCCTAGTATAGGGTCTCCTGCTTGAGCAGGGGGCTGGGCTAGAAGACCTCCAAGGTCCCTTTTAATTGTTATTCTGTTACTTTCACTATCGTATCACAACATGCTCATATAATTCCGCTGATCCTGAAAGCTGAAGCCAGGCATTTTAAGGCATTACTATCAAGCCACGTAAAACATTTATACACCATCAGCAAATCTCACTCCATGTTGAGATCCAGATGGCCCCCAACTTTGCTTACTTAGAAGAGCTGTGAAGACCTGACTCTTCAACCAGATCTTTAGCAAGGGAGTGAGACCCCCCTTGCTTCATGGTGCTTGCCATCTTCCGTCATTATTTTTATTTGACTTCATTGTAATTGTTCATTGTGAGCCAGGGAGTTATTGAGAGACAGCGCACAATTTATTTTTTTTTAAAAAATTACTATAAATTATATCTGTTTTATCTTTGAGGATTGTTAACGTGCAGAAAAACAGTTAAAGCCGTGATTTGTGGCACTGAGTACTCAGCTTCTTTAAATATATATATATACATCAGAATTTGAGCCAGAGGTGGGATGGATACGTGTTCCTAAATACAGGTAGTCCTCAATTTACAACCATTCGTTTAGTGACCATTTGAACTTACAATGGTCCTGAAAAAAGTGACCGATGACCGTTTTTCACACTTTATGACTATTGCAGCCTCCCTGTGGCCAGGTGATCAAAATTCAGAGGCTTGGCATGTATTTCTGACAATTGCAGTGTTCCCAGGCCATGTGATCACTTTTTACGACCTTCTGACAAGCAAAGTCAATGGGGAAGGCAGATCCCCTTAACAACCGTGTCACTAATTTAACAACTGCAGGGATTCACTTAACAACTGTGGCAAGAAAGGTCGTAAAATGTAAAAAAAGATGTTGAGACTCTAGAAAGAGTACAGAGAAGAGCAACAAAGATGATTAGGGGACTGGAGGCTAAACCATATAAGGAACGGCTGCTGGAATTGGGAATGTCTAGTTTAATGAAGAGAAGGACGAGGGGGGACATGATAGCAGAGTTCCAGTATCTCAGGGGCTGCCCCAAAGAAGAGGGAGTCAAGCTATTTTCCAAAGCGCCTGAAGGCAGGACAAGAAGCAGTGGGTGGAAACTGATCAAGGAGAGAAGCAACTTAGAACTAAGGAGAAACTTCCTGACAGTTAGAATAATTAACCAGTGGAACAATCTGCCTCCAGAAGCGGTGAATGCTCCAACACTGGAAGTTTTTAAGAAGAGACTGGACAGCCATTTGTCTGAAATGGTATAGGGTTTCCTGCCTGAGCAGGGGGTTGAACTAGATGACCTCCAAGATCCCTTCCAACTTTATTATTATTATTGCTGTTGTTGTTATAATAAAATGGGGCAAAATTCACTTAACAGCTGTCTCGCTTAGCAACAAAAATTGTGGGCTCAATTGCGGTCGTAAGATGCCTGTACGTGGTCTTGATCGACGGCCACAAAATTTGCTAGCACATTTTTCCTTTTCTGCCCAGACTTACCAAAAAGTAAAGCAAAAGGAAAACGTAAAAGACAAGATAGGAAAAAATAACTCAGAAAAGTGAACTGTACCTCGTGAATCCCCACCAGCCTCGAAATGAGATCCATCAGCATCATCTTCACTTCAAACCTCTCCTTTGAGGATTCCAGCTGCTTTAACAGCTTCTCAGCAAAGTCTGAAATCAGCAGGAAATCGATGAACATCCGAGAAAGGCCTGTGGCAGGGCGGGCTGTCCTGAGGGCCTCAAAGTTAAAAGATTTTTTTCTGTGTGGCAAAACTAGGCTCTGTGTCCCACAAATGCTGAGAAGTTTCATGCCTGATTAAAACACCTGGGTCATAGGTGTGTTTGCCCTAGAGATGAAAATACCCCAAAGGCGATGGTGTTAAGCAGGGGTCTTCAAACCTGGCCCTTTTATGACTTGTGGACTTCAACTCCCAGAATTCCTCAGCCAGGCATGCTGGCTGAGGAATTCTGGGAGCTGAAGTCCATTCCTCTTAAAGTCTATATCAGGGATCTTCAAACTTGGCCCTTTTATGACTTGTGGACTTCAACTCCCAGAATTCCTCAGCCTGAGGAATTCTGGGAGTTGAAGTCCATTCCTCTTAAAGTCTATATCAGGGGTTTTCAAACTTGGCCCTTTTATGACTTGTGGACTTCAACTCCCAGAATTCCTCAGCCAGGCATGCTAGCTGAAGAATTCTGGGAGTTGAAGTCCATTCCTCTTAAAGTCTATATCAGGGGTCTTCAAACTTGGCCCTTTTATGACTTGTGAACTTCAACTCCCAGAATTCCTCAGCCAGCGTGCCTGGCTGAGGAATTCTGGGAATTGAAGTCCACAAATTATAAAAGGGCCAGGTTTGAAGACCCCTGGTGTTAAGTAATGGAAGGGGAAGATGGTTGGATATTCCCTGAAGCTGATTTTGCATGGTGTGGCCTGGAGATACTTGTGTATCAAGGTAGAGGGAGAATCTGCAACCCAAGACCATGTCTTCCCATCCAAACTCTAACCAGGACTGACCCCACTCAGCTTCCGAGAGACAATAAGGAGTTATGTCAGAAGCTCCTCCTTGCAAAGATTTATCTCAGATCAAACGAACTTGCCTTGGGGATCGTGGATTAAATGAATTGCTGAAAAATTGAACACTTCCGGTTTCTTCTTTTTCTTGTGTTTCTGGAGAAGAAGGAAACGGACGTGGTCAGTAAAGAACGAGTTCAATAATTATGTTTCATTAGGCTATCTGAATTAAGTTCCTCCTGGGAGAGGTGACACAGATGGAGAGAATCAGCCTGCAATATTTAGCTACTGGGAAATGCTTGCTCTAGACCTGTTGAACATCCACCTCTTAGCTTAAAATCTATCTGGGGGGCCATGAAAGTGAAGTCCAATAGGAACAGCCTGCGTATCCGTGACCATTTTCCAGACTGTTAATTGTCACTTTACAAGAGACCTTCCAGAAATACATAGAAATCAAGATATAAGTGGTCCTCAACTTACGACTGATCGCTCAACGACCGTTTGAAGACCTAAATACCTGGAGGATATTTATGACCCCCCCCCCCCATTTGAAATTACGACAATCACAGCGGCCCTGGTATTTATGAGTGCTCAGCAACTGGGTGACATTTATAAGATAACACATTACAAGCACACATTAAAAATGAAATTCTGTTGCCTGCTCTCAAAAGCGTACACATATATAACGCACATATAAATGTGCTATATACAACAATGTATATACCTACACCTTTTAAATTAAAGTTTTAAATTCTTTGTTCTCCTGGTGATCGTGAGTTTTTATCTATTTTATACCTACACCTTTACGTATAAATACATATAAATATTAATCACTGTCCATCTTGAATACATAACGGAAAGAGGAAGCGTGAGAGTTCACAAGGTCACCGTATTTTTCCGTGCATAAGACACTATTTTTTCCTGCAAACACCCTGTGCAAAAATCAGGTGCGTCTTATACAAGTGTAGCATCTTATACACAAAAAAATAATGGTAACCTCCACAGCCCAGGGCATGCCTGTGTGGGTTCTTTATATGCCGCTGCCATGCCACCTGGTGCAGGTGTCAAGCCCCCATGGGCTTGCCACTAACAGGAGGAGAGAGGGGGCAAGATTGTCGGCCGGCCGAACTTCTGGATTTGCTGGCTCAGCTTTTCGGCGTGGAGAAACACCCACAGCAAACCAGGGGTTCTCTTAATGACCACTGCAATAAACAAATTACAAAAATCGGGCTGGTTACGTGACCGACCTGCTTTATGACCATCACGAGCAAGCCCCACTACAGTCATAACTCCAGGACTATCTATATTAGAAGAGGCATACAGAACAGGTTGATTATGTCCAGATCTCCTTTGCTGAGCAGGTCTGCCGAACTAGGCTACTCACTTTTAAAACTCGCATAGCTTTTTCTAGTTTCTTCTTGTTCTTTGTCGTTTTCTTTCCCGTGGCATACCGCACCATCAAGTCTCTTGCTGAGGGGCCGTCATCCTTGAAAAATAAATATTGTATGAAAGAGAAATTTAAGATCCAGTAAAGCTTTGCATGAGGAAAACATGAAAGGACCACTCTTTATCAAATTCTATTCCCGGGATGTACAGACATATGGTAATTTGGTACACCTTCCTCTTATTTTGTGCTATATTTTGTTGGCAGTGCACAGTGAAGTGGTTGTGGAATTGAAAATAACGACACTTTGGCAACAATGAGTTAAATAACAATTTAGAGACAAAATGCTCACAGAGTCCTTTGCATCAATTCAATGGTGAAAAAAGTAAGGTTCTACATTTAGGCAAGAAAAACCAAACGTACAGGTATAGTATAGGTGGTTCCTTGCTTAATAGTAGTAACTGTGAGAGGGATCTTGGAGTCCTAGAGGACAATCACTTAAATATGAGCCAGCAGTGTGCTGCAGGTGCCAAAAAAGCCAACACAGTGCTAGGCTGCATTAACAGAGGGATAGAATCAAGATCACGTGAAGTATTTTTTTTCCCCAAAGAATTTTTATTATTTTTCATCATCAAAAACAATCATAATCCAATAAACAGAATAAAAAATAAAATCCCCCCCCCGGACTTCCCAAACCTAATCCCAGGATAATATTCATATATAAGTAAGCAAATACTAATATCTCTAACTCCACAAAATATCTTAATCTACATGAAAAGATAGAAAGAGTAAACAAAATAAGAAAATCTAAAAACCTAAGTTATATTCTACCAGTCTATGCTTCTTTTGAATATAAACAATCCATCTTCTCCATATTGATAAAAATTGTTCATTTGAGTAGTTCTTCAAATAAGCCGAAATCTTTGCCATTTCAGCAAGATTCGAAACTTTGAATCTCCAGTCTTCCATTGTAGGCAGAATTGGACTCTTCCAATTTTGGGCTATCAGCAAACGAGCAGCAGTTAAACAATAAAGCATCAAATTTGTCTCTTTTACATCTAAATCTTGCACAATACCTAGAAGAAACAACTGTGGGAGAAAGATAATCCTTTTTTTAAAGATTTGCTGTAAGTTCCACCACAATTGTATCCAAAAGGCCTTAATAACCTTACAAGTCCACCACATATGAAAAAAAGTTGCATCTGGGTGTCCACACCTCCAACACTTGGATTCATAATTCACATAAATACGAGACATAGTTGAAGGGTCCAAGTGCCATCTATAAAACATTTTGTAAAAATTCTCACGTAAATTTTGAGCTTGTGTAAACTTCACATTTCTCACCCAGCAAGATCACGTGAAGTATTAATACCACTTTATAATGCCTTGGTAAGGCCACACTTGGAATCCTGCATCCAGTTTTGGTCACCACGATGTAAAAAAGATGTTGAGACTCTAGAAAGAGTACAGAGAAGAGCAACAAATTCTGGATTCCAGGGACACTGACCTCCGATTCTGAGTCACTGTCTTTCTTTTCATCTTTCTCCTTCCCGAGGAAAAACGTCAAGCCAGCAACTTGGATCTACAAAGTCAGGAGAGGTGACAAAGAAGAGCCAAAGGGATTTTTTTAAACAATCCAACTCCTTGAGAAAGTAGGTTTCATACATCGCTGAACTAACAAAATCAGAAATATTATCCCCTCCCGCCTCAAATTTGGTTGTAAGTGTGAAAAAACAGCCCTCAGTTATTTTTTTCAGTGACGGTCACTAAATGAACTGCTGTATATTGAGGACTACCTGTACTTGGACCAAAATGTTTACTTTACCTTGGTGACTTTGGAAAAACAAGCCAGCGTTATGACATTCACAGTTCTGGCATCGTTCCTGTTAAAAAAAAAAAAAGACTGTTTAGAACAGAGACTGAGAAATTAAATATATGTGTTTTATTTTCTTTAGCTATGAGCCAGCCGTGTGCTGCAGCTGCCAAAAAAGCCAACACAGTTCTAGGCTGCATTAACAGAAGGATAGAATCAAGATCACGTGAAGTGTTAATACCACTTTACAATGCCTTGGTAAGGCCACACTTGGAATCCTGCATCCAGTTTTGGTCACCACGATGTAAAAAAGATGATGAGACTCTAGAAAGAGTGCAGAGAAGAGCAACAAAGATGATTAGGGGACTGGAGGCTAAAACATATAAGGAACGGTTGCTGGAATTGGGTATGTCTAGTTTAATGAAGAGAAGGACGAGGGGGGACATGATAGCAGTCTTCCAATATCTCATGGGCTGCCACAAAGAAGAGGGAGTCAAGCTCTTCTCCAAAGCACCTGAAGGCAGGACAAGAAGCAACGGATGGAAACTCATCAAGGAGAGAAGCAACTTAGAACTAAGGAGAAACTTCCTGACAGTTAGAACAATTAACCAGTGGAACAACCTGCCTCCAGAAGCGGTGAATGCTCCAACACTGGAAGTTTTTAAGAAGAGACTGGGCAGCCATTTGTCTGAAATGGTATAGGGTTTTCTGCCTGAGCAGGGGGTTGGACTCGATGACCTCCAAGGTCCCTTCCAACTTTATTATTATTATTATTATTATTATTATTATTATTATTATTATTATTGTTGTTGTTGTTGTTGTTGTTGTTATTATTATTATTATTATTATTATTATTATTATTATTATCTGAGGTATCACCATTGTTCCTGCCCACTGCAACCTACCAGATATTTCTTCTGTACAGCTCAATCATCACATCCAGTGAAATCTTGGCTGCAGTTGGGTTGCTGTCTTGCAGCATTGTGTACATGAAACTCTGAAGCATCTGCAAAATAAATAAATAAATAAATAAAAAGGAGACACTGTTTTTTGAGGAAGAGTCGCCTGGAGCTATCCAACTTAAAAGCTGATGGAAGGAGCCAAAAACTTACAGTGTTCATTCTGTTGTTCTTGTGTTTGGCATTGACGTTCTTGATGTCGGTAACGATGTGAGTGTATAATGTCTGTCAAAATAAGAAAGGTAAATTTCAGTAGGAATAGCTTCTTTGAGAAAAAAAATGAACAGAAGCAGAAGCAGACACTCCATGATGGATCAAATCTCAGAGAGATAAGATTTCTCGTCATTTGTCTGTGTGTGCAATGGCACACATTAAAATGAAATTCCGATCCAAAAGAATCACACCCATACACCTATACTGGATCTGTATGTATGTATATACCAGTGATGGCAAACCTTTTAGAGACCGAGTGCCCAAAAACTGGCCCCGCCCCTGCTCCGCCCCACCCCGTTCCCCACCCCACCTGCCCGCAGGGCCACTCACCGCCTCCAGGGCCCACCGCAGATTGCCCAGGCAGCCCAGCAGTGCCATGGCCACACCCTCTGCCCACACCCCGCAGCATCAACTGTGCGGGATGGGGCATGAGGGCAGAGTCTTGTCTACGGTGCCTGATTGCCATGACCTTGGCTACCCTGCTTTGTGTGGGCCACGCTCAGGGGTGACTTTCCTTCAGGGGGGCTGCTGGTGAGGAGGGGGTCGTGGGGGGAGGCGAGGCTGGGGCAACGGCACGTGTGCCCACAGAGAGGGCTCCGAGTGCCGCCTCTGGCACCCGTGCCATAGGTTCGCCACCACTGGTATATACAGTAGTGGCCAAAATTGTGGAAACCTTTTGGGGAAAAGTGTACAGTAGAAATGCCACCTTTGGTTAAGCTTCCACCCATTTTTCTTCTAATTTCTTTATAACTGTAGCCTTGTTCACTTAATAATACTATTGTACATCGCTTTCTGGGTGACCAGTCAACTCTTTGCACCATTACTTTGATTTTATTACGTTTTACAAGCTCACTAAATGAAAGAACACAAAAAAACCCCAACCAACGTGATAGCGATCACATAACACACTGACAAATGTCCTCCTCTCAGCTTCAATACAGGACATCAATCACTGAACCCTGCTGTGATCTGATTGGCTCATTGCCAAAACAAGAGGACACCTGATTGGCTCTCTAAACACTCATGCTCATTAGGAAAAGCTACTCACTTTTCGTAAAAATTTATCATGGCAACGGAGGAGCTCAAAGAAGAGTTCCAACAAGCTTGTGGGATTGATCAGGTTCTTGTTGCGTAGCAAGATCAGCGCTCTGCAAAACGTCTGCAAAAAGGAGGAAGGGATTACTACAAATGGCAATAATAAAATGTGAATCAGCCAGACTGCAACACTAATACTAAAATAACCACCATATCCTATTCTTTCCTCTCATTTTTTTTCCAGCTTGCTATTTTTTTAAATAGCGCTTACCAACAGCACTTAGCGTTATAATACCGCTTCATAGTGCTTTAAACCATAAGTGATTTACAGAGTCAGCATATGGCCCCCAACAATCTGGGTCCTCATTTAACCAACTTTGGAAGGATGGAAGGATGAGTCAACCTTGAGCCGGTCAGGATCGAACTCCTGGCAGTGGGCAGAGTCAGCCTGCCATACTGCATTCTAACCAATGCACCACCACAGCTCACAGAACAGAAAATCACTGCTCTTTAATGTTGGTAGACAGAAAATTCAAAGCATGGGCAAATGGTATAGGGCAGGGGTAGGCAACCTTGGCTCTTTTATGACTCGTGGACTTCAACTCCCAGAATTCCTGAACCAGCATGGCTGAGCTTGGAAACTCTCCCTTTCCCCTCAGCATGGCTGGCTCAGGAATTCTGGGAGTTGAAGTCCACGAGTCATAAAAGAGCCAAGGTTGCCTACCTCTGGTATAGGGCAGTGGTGGCGAACCTATGGCACGGGTGCCAGAGGCGGCACTCAGAGCCCTCTCTGTGGGCACGCGTGCCGTCGCCCCAGTCCTAGGCCTTCAGCTGGGTTTTATAAAACCTTTTCGCTTTAGGCCTCCGCCACCGTGTGCAAAAAAAAAAGGTTCAATCAATCAGTCAATTTCAACTTCTCAGGGGAAAAAAAAAGATCTTGCAAAGTTGGAATTGATTGATTGAACTTTTTAGTCCCACCCAGTCTGCTGTTACCACCGCAGCCACGCCCACCCAATGGGCCACACCCACCCGGCACCCGGCGATGCATAAGTGGGTTTTGGGTTGCAGTTTGGGCACTCGGTCTCTAAAAGGTTCACCATCACTGGTATAGGGTTTCCTGCCTGAGCAGGGGGTTGGACTAGAAGACCTCCAAGGTCTCTCCCAACTCTGTTATTGTATTGTATTGTATCTAAATAACAGCCATTCGAGGTAGACCAATAGAACTCTATTTTAATGAGATTCTAGTAACAGAATCTTTCAAGCCTGATTGTATTTTTCGCTGCCTTCCTGCTGGCTGGCGAATTCTGGGTGTTGAAGTCCGCACATCTTAAATTTGCAGACAAATTTAAGTAAGTCCTTGACTTACAGTCGCTTAGTGACCGAAGTTGCAATGCCCCCCCCAAGAAAGGTACTTACAATCTGGTTCTGAAGCTGGCCCCCCCAGTGGTCACGTGACATTTTAGGTGCTTGGTAGCCAGTCCAAGCTTATGGCCATTTAGAGCGTCCCATTGTAGTGTCTCGCAGTCACATAATCATGTTTTTGACATTTTTGTGTTTACTTCCAGTTTTGGGGGGAAATGCCCCATAGCAAACAAACAATGCTTACTTAATGACCACAGATTCCACTTAATAATCATGGTGATTCACTTTAAAAGATCATAAAATCAGTCACGTGATGATCTGCTTTATGTCACAATATACCATCATAATTTGCAAGCTCCGTAACTGTCCTAAGTTGAGGACTATCTGTACTGTCCTGGAAGGTCAGGGAAAAGCCAATTGAATTTCTTCCTAATACTTTCTTTTCCTGGGCTCAAGGCATGCTTCCCTCCCTTTTAGTTTTGTAACCTTTTCTGAATATTTTGTCCAAGGTCACCGCATGAGTAAGAAACTCCAGCTGTCATGGTTCCGACAGATGAAACTCTTCAAAGAACTTCAAGGCATTGTTTACCTTAAAGAATCTTTATTCGAGTAGCATAGCATCGTACATAGGGGAAGCCAAAATCTGAATTCCCCTCCCCTGAACACATAGTATCAAGCTCAATTTCCTCCTCTGATTAACAGCCATAAATCACATTCTCCAATTAGTTTGAAATGCAGGCTTTCCCTCCAGTTCTCCAACCCGCCATTTCTTATCATCTCTTTTCAAAAAACCTTGATTCTCACACTGCTACAATATTGTTATGTCTACCTAACTCCCATGCACATTCCTCCTCCTCTCCCCAGTATCATCTAATTCTAACTCTAAGAATAAAACATAAGAAGGAAAATGGCTGCATCTCCATATGTTGTCAAAGCAAGAACATCCGATGTTAGCAGCGTTGACACCAGCAACCGAGAAGCAGTGAAAAAGCGTGCTTTTCATAGCTCTTTTTCACCTTCCCTTAACAAAAAAATATTATATAAATTATCAGCAGGGCAGCATGAGGTACCAGTCTTATACTATTCCAGAACATTGGCTCCAATCTCTTAAGACAAGAAACGAAAGCAACGTTGAGCAAAATTGTCCCCTCACAAGAGAGTCCTCTCCTTCCAGGAATCAAACATCTGGATTGCAGATGCTCACCATCCGAAGATCTGGATCCAAGACTGTATGACTATAGGACAACAATTCCTTCAACTGTTGCGGAAAGTCTTCTAGGTATTCAGAGTAGCAATGGGCAACCTGTTTAAAAAAGAAAAGGAAATCGGAGTAAAAAAAATCTCCACATCAATCAGAAAGTTTGTTTGGTTGTACTCAAATAACATTAAGGGGGCCGTGTTTGGTGGCTGAAATGGATTTCTTCATGAATCTTTACGACAATCTCAGTCTCACTAATTGCCAGAGCACAGGTGTCAACTCTCTCAGGTAAATCAGAAAGGAAACTACCATATTTCCCCAAAAATAAAACCGGGTCTTATATTTATTTTTAATCCAAAAGACGCATTAGGGCTTATTTTTCAGTTAGGTCTTATTTTCGGGAAAATACGGCACTAAATGCGTCCATCTGGCTGACAATCTTAATTGGGGCTTATTTTGGGGGTAGGGTTTATATTACAAGCATCCTGAAAAATCATGCCGGGGCTTATTTTCCGGTTAGATCTTAATTTCAGGGAAACCGGGTAAATGAGCTAAATCTATTTTACTGTAAGACTACATTAACAGCATCTTGCAAGTCTAAACTTAGTATAAGTTATACTTAGTACAAAGTATAAACTTCCTGCCGCCACTGTTTGATCAATTAGGGCAGGTCCTACCTAAGTTTCTTCCTCTGACCGCTAAGCCACTGGGAACTCCTGCTTCTTGTCTGATAATTCCCTAAGCAGCATCTTTTTCCATCCCTCAAGGTTATCCACACATTCCATTACAATAGGGCAGGAGTAGGCAACCTTGGCTCTTTTATGACTCGTGGACTTCAACTCCCAGAATTCCTGAGCCAGCCATGCTGAGGGGAAAGGGAGAGTTTCCAAGCTGAGCCATGCTGGCTCAGGAATTCTGGGAGTTGAAGTCCACGTAAAAGAGCCAAGGTTGCCTACCCTTGTGGCCTAGCTTGTTACAGAATCCTATAAAGGTTAAGTCAATAATGAGCCTCAATTTTGCCCCCAAAACATATGTCTAGTGCAGGACTAGGCAACCTTGGCTCTTTTATGACTCGTGGATTTCAACTCCCAGAATTCCTGAGCCAGCCCTGCTGAGGGGAAAAGGAGAGGTTTCCAAGCTGAGCCATGCTGGCTCAGGAATTCTGGGAGTTGAAGTCCACGAGTCATAAAAGAGCCGAGGTTGCCTACCCCTGCAATAGGTGATCTCCTCAGTACACAAGCTATCTGGAACCCTTGTAAGATTTTGACATTCTTATATGAAACCTCAGCTTTGGGACCTTGGAAGGTTTGGGGGTCGCACAACTTTCTACCTTAGCAACCGGGACAACCTCATTTCTGAGGACACTGCGAATCCCTGTCCCAAAGAGAAATGCCACTTAATACCTTATTCTCCCGTTCCCATGTCCCACAGATAACATTCAATCCACAATGCAGTTTTCCCTAATCTGGCATTCCCTGGAAATTGTTGGATGTCAGTTCCACCATGGTTTCACTACCAAATTGGATATTTTCCCCTAACGAGGCTTGCTATCAATAGGGTACCAATAACTGAGGACACTTTCTCTCTACATAGCAATTTCCATTTAATACGCACGAATGCATGTTTCAAAACGTATTACAGGGTTTAGTAATACTTTGGAATAAACTATTTCAGAGGACAGAATGCTAGTTTTGAAGATTACTCTTCAAAGCACCCGTGTCGTTTCCTAGGATTGTGCAGGTATGTTCTGTGACATTATCTGGCAAAGATACAGCTGCTTCAAAAAGTTAACAGTGGGTGATATCTTTATGCTCCCAACCACCCCAAACCAACATTTTGGAACTGAGTCTAAAGCACTGGACTCCTTGCTATATAATTTCTATTCCATACACTGTGTTTTTTCCACCAAAGTATCCTTGCAACTCAAGAATGGTAAGAATTTTCTTTGAAAATATTGTTAAAGCCACATTCAAAATGGTGATTCAAGCAGAAACTGCTAAATCAATTTGAGCTCCATACATTAGAATTGTCAGAAGTGATTATTCTCACTCACTTACATTTAGAACCTTCCACTAGAATTATCTGAAGCCTTAATATTTTTATTTTCTTAATAATTTGTTTTTTTTTCCTTCAGTGAGGGAGGCTTAAACTAATTCAAGCAAAATTCTCTCTCTCTCTCTCTCTCTCTCTCTCTCTCTCTCCCCCCCCACCCACACCATGAATTTTACCTGGGCCAAAAACATCACCAATTCACCCAGTTCTTTACTGGGCTTTGCTGGCTGAAGCTTGAATATTTCCACATTGGACTTATAATGGCGATACTGTTGAAGGAACTAGAAGAAATCCAAAGAAGAAAAATTACTGGGAGTGAGGATCGAGAAGGATGCTTAATAAAACAAATAAGAATATTCCATTCAAAAGGAGAAGTGGAATTCTAGGATTTACTAGGAATGGCAAATTTTCAGAGCCTGCAAACAAAACTTTCCAGTATTTTATATTATCCAATGGAATGAGGTAACACACAACCAATTAAAACAATCCTATCTGGATCACTGGATCACATCTTCTATCATTCCTTTCATTACACTGGTATTAAATTACAAAAGCTGGAGGAACTACAGGGAGTGGTTGTTTTAAAATCCAACGAAATATTTTGCGGCAAATTACAGATAGTCCTCAACTTACGACCACAATGGAGCCCGAAATTTATGTTGCTAAGTCAGATAGTTGAGTTTTGCCCCATTTTACGACCTTGCTTGTTCGGCGAATCACTGCAGCTCTTAATAACAAGGTTGTTAAGTGAATCTGACTTCCCCATTGACTTAGCTTGTCAGATGGTTGCAAAAGGGGATCATATGACCCCCCAAGACACTGCAACCGTCATAAATATGAGTCAGTTGCCAAGCGTCTGAATTTTGATCATGTTATTTTAGTGTGAAAAAAACAGTCGTAAGTCACTTTTTTCAGTGCTGTTGTAACTGTGAATAGTCACTAAGTGAACGGTTGTTAAATCGAGGACTACTTTAGAGGGAATGGATGTCCTTGCTAAATGAGGAGAGCGTTTGGTGTAATGCCTTTGTATATGCTCAGAGGCATCCTTTCTGTTGCTCTATCAGCTGCAATACCACCAAGCGCTGATCTTCAATCCAGCTGCCATTGCTCTACACAACCTAAGTCACTCTGTGTATGCTCAGAGGCACCTTCTCCCTTGCTATTTCAATTGCAAAACCGGCAAGCGCTAACACCCTACAGAAATAACAGAGTTGGAAGGGACCTCAGAGGTCTTCTAGTCCAACCCTCTTGGCCAGAAACATCACACAGGACCCCTTTTCAGGGTATCCCCCCAATTCCTTACCTCCTCGGTATAAGACGGCGGGTCCCGCTTGATCAAGTTCTGCAACTGCGGCAGGTTGAACGGCAGCTTGTTGTTATGGCGAGCAGCCATGACGGCGAACAGCGCAGCTTCTTCCGGGCCGGCAACGTGGGACTTTCGATGGGCGGCGCCATGTTAAGTCACGTGGGTATGGCAGCCGCGTAGAGTCCTTCGTCCTTCTAACGCGAAAGCGCCTCAGACGCCGTATTGTACCTTGCCATTCATAATCTCCTTGCATTGCGACTCCCAAAATTCCCAGCGGGCGCACTGAACTCTGGGAGTTGGAGTTCCAGCTTCTCTAGCTGGCTTTTAAGTCAGAACAGCGTTTCTCAACCTCAGCAACTAAGGAAGACTAACCCTCACATTATGATCAGAATCCGAATAGCGTTGGAAGGGACCTTGGAGGTCTTCTAGTCCAGCCCCCTGCTCAAGCAGGAGACCCTATACCATTTCAGACAAGTGACTGTCCGTACAATATTGTTCATATAATACACTGGCTGGGGAATTCTGGTAATTGAAGTCCACAAATCTTAAAAGTTGCCAAGTTTGTAGAGCCTTAGTGTACGATATGGTGCCAAAATGGCTGGTTGTCGAGAATCTCCATCAGTGTGTTAAAATATTTTTTATGATATGGTATTAGAATATTGCATTTGAGCATTTGCATTATTATTTAAGATTAGTTGGCTGTTTTATGCTTCATTGTTCACAGTACTTGAAAGTAGTTTTTCCAGGGAAGTGAGATAAGGTGATCCTCCCAAGAATTATCCTTAATTATTCCTCATAGAATATAGAATCATAGGGCTGGAAAGGACCTCAGAGGTCATCTAGTCCAACCCCCTGCTCAAGGCAGGTGATCTTATACCATCCCAGTGAAATGCTTGTCCAGTCTACTTTTGAAAATCTCCAGTGATGGAGCACCCACAACTCCGGGAGGCAAGCTGTTCCACTGTCACAAAATTTCTCCTTATTTCTAGGTTGGATTTCTCTTTAACAAGCTTCCACCCATTACTTCTTTTCCTGCTCTCTGGAGCTTTGGAGCATCAATCAATCCCCTCTTCTCTGTAACAACCCCTCAAGTACCAGGGGACTGCTATCACGTCCCCCTTATAATAGATTGGATGCTCAGATACAATATTCTAATGTCATTTGCACTTTTAATAAGGCTCAGGAGCCGTGTCTGTTTATTTTAAGATTAGTTGGCTGTTTTAAACTTTATTGTTCATACAACTTGACTTTTCCACCCATTACTTCTTGTCCTGCCCCCTCTGGTGCTTTGGAGAATAAATCAACCCCTTATTTTATGTGACAACCCCTCAGATTCCGGAAGACAACTATAATGTTGATAAGTCAGACATCTAGCTCCCTCAACAGCTCAGAAAACTTAAAAGATGACAGCAAAGAAGGAAGTTCCTTATATGGAATGATGTGAAGAGGGAAATGAGTAACTGGAGAAGGGGTAAAAATTCTATAGGATGAACTGATTGCAATGTATATAAATTGTGCTGATTGGGCCTTTGCAGCCACCTAGTCACAGCTTTCTGTCATTGCTCTTCAATGAAGAATAAAGAACTTAATCCATGAATCTGCCTGTTTTCTGGATCTCGGCTCAGAAATGAGTTTGTAAGGAACAAAATATTCCAACACTTGAATGTTTCAGGTGAAGTTTTGGCTTCCGGAGTTTCGAAAAGAAAATCTTTTGTTGCCCTTTTATAAAAGGGGAATTGAAACGTTGCTTTTAATAATTGAAAAAACACCATAAAACAAGTCTGTGTTTTGTTAAATTTTATTGAATAATTTATATTTTCTTAGGTAAAAAGTTATTTCCTCTAGACTTCTTAATTTAATTATTTTAAAACATTAACAGGCGTATGTTTACAGGCATCCTGATATTTTATTTTCCTGAGTACGTGTAACAAATTACATTTTCAACTATAGCTGTAAGCAATATCAGTAACAATTTAAGAACTGAACAAATGTGTATTACATCATCTCACATATAAATGTACCTGTTTCATATATTTAAAAATACATTTAACAAAAGCAAATCTTTAGAACTGACTTATAAGAAAATATTTTTGTTTGTGCTACATAAAATGGAAATGAGGACTGAATTTTTCTACAGATTTCTTGGAGTGAGGAGACTAGCTTTAAATTCCCACACAAGGTGGGATGAATAATATAAATTACATTATTAATTTTAACAGATTGAAAGAACTAGATATGTAAGCATATCTAAAGTCTTAGGAATATATAGTAGAGAATTCCTTGCACATTTTTGTTGAAACAGAATATATATATTTTAAAGCAGTTCAACAAAACCGAGGAACTTTTATTCAATAAAGCTATATTCTCCAAGCTTAGTTTCCCATTTTTAAATATTTCATTACTGGCCAAATCATATCTGCAATGCTACCAGCTGGGATTTTTCCATTGTAAAATATATTAATGTCTGTACAATCAGTTACATGTCATTGGTGAGTTGCCCTGTCTGCAAGACTGGCCTGTTATCTGGTTAATTGTTAAGTAAGAAAGAGGAGCGATACCGTGATCTCGTTCCAGCTTAATCTTTGGTTATTTCTGTGGTTAACTAAATTCATTTATGCAGCTGTCCACACTGCAGATGTGGCTCTGGGCAGCCTACCACACATTCAAAACAATAAAATGATGTCAATGAAACAAAGAACCAGTAAGGGATGTTGACAAAATAAACCAAAGATTATCAGCAAGCCAAGAATTATGCTTAAGCCACTTAACCTATAAAATCCCATGCTCTGGCACTCATCCAGGTTTTAAGGGCTTTGCAGAGAAACTAGCAAGTTCCAGGCCAATCTAACCTCTAAGGGTAGAGTGTTCTAGTGTTTACACATTACAACATTGCTTGTTGCTCATTTGCAGCCATGAACATTTAAAACTGCCATAGAAAACCAGACTCACAAGACTTCTGCAGCCTAACAGTGCAATCCTGAGCTATATATCTTCTCTATTTTCTAAATGTAGGTGCAAAGGTCCTTGTTTATCTAAAATTAACTACATAGTTTTTGGGAACCCATCAGTAGTGATTAAAGGTTTTTCTGGATAATTATTTCAAGCATTCTGGCCATCCTACTAGATTGTGCTAGCTCTCAAACAGAACCAGGAACCATACATAATACTTGTTTTAGGATCATACTTGGCTGGGTTCACTAATCATGAACGATGGCTTACAACACCGAATTGGTTGGGATTGTGCTACATATACATTTGATAAATAAAAATACACACTTAGCCCAGGTCAAAGTTGGTGTGATATGCAAGCCAAGTGGAAGACTCTCCCGTACTGGCTTTAAACACTTGTCTAACCATCATTTGGTTCATTCAACAGAGTTGGCTATATTTAAACAGCTAAGTTGTCGTGCTATAAAGTCCAGTAAATTGCATGTTGCCTTAGCTTGAACATTAGTACAAGATCTACCAAATATCTGGCTTTGGAAAAAAAAAACCCACCACAGAACAAGCTTGCAGACTTCCACCAACTTGCGTCCTCTTTGGTTGAGGCAATTTTGTTCCTGAGGCATGTGTGGGATATCCAACGGAAACCATCACTCCTTGCCTGGATGAAATTACTGAGGTCTTATTGGTCTTCTCCTTCCTGGTTGGGTCGTCTTCAAATCTGTGACTGGTTTAAACAAAATGGAAGAGGTGAGAACAGCTTTCCTGCAAGGACCATTAATTCCAGCCAAAATACAGCTGCTGCAGAAGCATCTTCCTAGCCAGTTTGATGCTACTCAAGTGTGCCAAACCTAAATAGCATTTGTGTTTAGTCTTCTAGATCCTCCTGAACATGTGCTAGATTCCTTTAGTGAAACAAAGCGTTTCTTAACGTAAAAGACTGCTTGAGGATGGATAAAATGTCTCTCTGAACTAGCCAAACTCCAGCTAGCCAAACTGGAGTTTGGCTAGTTCAACCTGGACACCGGTTCTTCCAAAAGAGATCTTTCCTACCCCTAGTCAAAAAAAGGATATTGCTATCCAATCACTTCTCTTCTTTCTGATGTAAAACCTAACCTGAGATTCCGTGAGCAAGGCAAGCATTCTGCCTAATCTACTCCATATAGGATAACATGGGATAATTCTGCTGTCTGCTATTGGTTCCTGTTGGGAGTGTAATCCCAAACTCACAGCAGGCAGAACAGTTAGAGGAAGAAAAAACAAGGAAGATATATTCAAAGCTCAAACATAGTTAATAGTTTAGATCAGTGGCATCCAACTTTGGCAACTTTAAAACTTCTGGGGGTTGAAGTCCACAATTCTTATAGTTGCCAAGGTTGGACGGCCCTGATTTAGATTCAGTATCTCCAAGAGGTATCATGGGAATTGTAGTCTAACAGATGAGGAGGATTCCAAGATGAAATAAGCTGAGTTACTTAATAGCTGGGTTCATACAACATACTCAACCATGTCTGTCAAGGACCTAACAGTTACCTTTTGCCTAACCTGCTAAGCTCAGCTAGCTTTAAAATTGGGTAGGTGAATGCAAGGTATTAATCAGGGTGCACTGAATTGTGGAAGCTCAGAAAAAAATTAATTTGGTAACTAATTTAAATGGTGCTAGGTAAATCTTGCTGCTCACATTGATTATTGCAGCCAGAGGGCGATATAAAAGTATAAAATACAAGTATAATTGTAAAATATAAAAATTTCTCCACTCCAAATAGCTGAAGCAACTTACATTTTGCTACACTTGATCTTAGCCAAAAGACCAAGAAGCAATTGTGAATTTTATGAATCTTCAGGAGGAAATCATCTGGCTATTTTCGAATCTAACCAGGGAGACATACTTTTTTATAAATATGTATAAAATGTATAAAATTTACCTGCAGATGAAAATCCTAAGATTACAGTGGCAACAATCAAATTGCTAACTGTGGCTAGGAAGTTAAAGCTTTTAGTAATAAATCAATGAGCTGCACTTTTAAGTCTGTCTTGTTACATTTATTAAATATTTTGCTTGTTAAACATTTTACTTATTAAACTGTTTCATCCATGCCAAGTTTAGATTATGTTTGTAACTTGCTTTTGGTCCTTTCAACTGTAAATAAAATTGATTGAACTTACAATTTTTCAACATTGTCTGCACGTCTTTTGAAGTTGGGTCTAGGCACTGCTGTTGTCCTGAGATTTTCCGTGTCACTCTTAAGAGAAGGAAACAATGAACAAAGTCCTTATTTATTACATTTACAGGTGGTTCTCAACTTACAACCATCCATTTAGTGGCCAAAGTTACCACAGCACTGAAGAAAATGACTTGCAGCCAGTCCTCCCTCTTGTGTCCATCATAGCATCCCAACAATTGCATAGTCAAAATCCGAGCACTTGATGTTTGTACATGATGGTTCCATCATTGCACAGTCATGTGAGTGCCATTTGGAAACTTCCCAGCTGATTTTCCCTCAAAATCAATGGAAAAGCCAGGCTGACTTAATAACTGCCTGTTCAGTGTGGCAGCAGTGGCAAAAATGATTGTAAAATCAGGTGCAATTCTTATCAACTTGTTTAGCAACTTGCTCCCTATTTAAGAAAAGTCATATGGCCACCCAACTTACTTTTACTGACTCCGGGCAGCTTACAAGGATAAAATCTCAATACAAAAACAATTTGTTGTTGTTTTAACCATTCAGTTGTGTCCAACTCTTGGAGAGTTTATAAGAAAGTGCTCTCCATGCTACCCTGTCAAGTCCAGCTTCTTTCAGTTGTTGGATGCTCATCGGATTTGATGTTATCAAGCCAGCGTGTTCTTTGATTGCCCCTTCTTGTTATTCCACTAACCATTCCTAGCATCATTGCCTTATCCAATGAATTTGCATGCATGACATGGCCAAAAATAATACAAAAGGGCAATAAAGGAGAATATTTGTAGGCTTGAAATGAGAGGTCCTTGATGCTCACTGAGCTTGGTTGTTTTCTTGCAGACATTTCATTACCCTACTAGGTAAGATCATCAGTGCTAGTCTAGTGAAACATCTGCAAGAAAACAACCAAGCTCAGAGAGCACTCAATACAAAAAGCAATAACAACCCCACCCCACAACAATCAAACAAGCTACTTGATAAGCTGCATATCATTCTGGGGTCCCCAGACTCACTGGCAAAATCAGGTTTTCAGAGTCTTGCAAAAGTGTGTTAAAAGTGGGGGCCAGTCCTATCTCTGCAGGGATGCTCCACAGAGAGGAATCACAATTGTGATATGTTGAGGACTACTTGTATGTCCCATCCCAAATCAAACATGGTTGTGCATTCTTTGAGGCACACATTAAGGAGAAAGGCAGACAAGACAACTCCAACTTCTGTTTATAGCAGCAATAGTCATAAATCAGAATTTGTCGTTTTTTCCTTTCCTCGATTTGCTCTGGAGAAGATTCAGTACTTACATATATTCAACTTTGTTGCAGGACGGACTAATGGGGAAGATTTCAAACTTGCTCACAAGTCCCAATCGCATAGGCCTGGGAGACGTTGTTCGGCACTTACAATTATTCCTGGCAATTGTCACCATTCCTAGACCCCATGCAAAAAAGACAAGAGAATGCGATTACAAATCCCAGTGGACATTTTGAAACACAACTATCTACAGTCGTGGCCAAAATTGTGGAAACCTTTTGGGGAAAGTGTACAGTAGAAATGCCACCTTTGGTTAAGTTTCCACCCATTTTTCTTCAAATTTCTTTATCAATGTAGCCTTGTTCACTTAATAATACTATTTTACATCGCTTTCTGGGCGACCAGTCAACTCTTTGCACCATGACTTTAATTTTATTACGTTTTACAAGCTCACTCAATGAAAGAACACAAAAAACCCCAACCAACTTGATAGCGATCACATAACACACTGACAAATGTCCTCCTCTCAGCTTCAATACAGGACATCAATCACTGGATCCTACTGTGATCTGATTGGCTCATTGCCAAAACAAGATGACACCTGATTGGCTCTCTAAACACTCACGCTCATTGGCTACCATCAGATGAAGGAAAGCTACCTGATATCAACCTAAGCAAATTGTGCTTCCTTTTTCTGGTTATTTGGCTATAACTTTTCCTAGAATACAGTACAGATAATTGAACAAACTATGTTGCATTACATTCTTGATTAAACTATCTTTCCATTGATATGTAATTTTATGGCACTACTCCCCCCCAAAAAAGTGGTGTTATTAGCCATCAAACCTCAAAAATACACTTTTCCCAAAAGGTTTCCACAATTTTGGCCAATACTGTACATATTTTTAAATCGGCTTCATCCTGGCTGGTTGCCTAAGCTTTGCTGCCTGGGGAATTCTGGGAATTGAAGTCCACCCATCTTAAAGTTACCAAAGTTGTGAAACACTGCAATAGGCAATATAAACGGATGGAAATTAATTTCCAGAAATTAAGGAATTAATCAGTTCACATTGTGGGATAAACATACTCAGCCCTCCCCCACCCCCCACCCCCAAATGCTGTAATTCTTCCTTACCTTCTAGTCCCACTGCAAGCAGGAGGAGCAAAGAAAGGGAAGCAACACACATTTTCTTCATGGTGATGAGAGTTCCTTGAGTGTTAATTCTTTCTAAGCAAATGCTGTGATTTATAGCCAGAGGATTCTCCCTCCTGAAAGCTGATTGGTGATTTTAATTGCTTCAGGGAAAGTCCCACTTGACTGCAAATACTTGGAAAAAGTTCCTGTTTTAGGAAATGGGAAGCTTTCATTTTCAGTTCTGTTTAGAATCTTGACACAAGTTCTCTCTTCCTCTTTGCTGCCCTCTAATAGTAATCCTTGACTTATAACAGTTCATTTAGTGACCGTGCGAAGTTACAACGGCACTGAAAAAAGCAATTTATGACCGTTTTTCACACTTACGTCCATTTCAGCATCTCCATGGTCACGTGATCAAAATTCAGATGCTTGGCAACTGATTCATATTTATCACGGTTACAGTGTCTTGGCATTGGGTGATCCCAAAAAGATAACCCTGGCAGTAGCTCAACCAAGAGTTCCCATTAAGGGAAGTGTAGGCTATCCCTCAACTCAGTGCAGTGATACCTTGCAATTATTGGCATGGTATGTATTTGCTAAACCATGGGGACACTGGGATATGCTGAAATTATTTACTTGGTCAAAAATTTGAACAAGTACATTCATTAATCACACAATACAGGTAGTCTAGTCTAGTCTAGTCTAGTCTAGTCTAGTCGAGGAGAGGACAGAATAGACTACAACAGAACAGAATAGAACAGAACAGAATATAAATAGAATAGAGTAGAGTAGAGTAGAATAGAATAGAATAGAATAGAATAGAATAGAATAGAATAACAGAGTTGGAAGGGACCTTGGAGGTCTTCTAGTCCAACCCCCTGTTCAGACAGGAAACCCTATACCATTTCAGACTAATGGTTGTCCAATCTCTTCTTAAAAACGTGACTTACAACCATTTATTTAATAACTGTTCAAAATTACAATGGCACTGAAAAATTGACTTGTGACCACTATAACATCTCAAAGGGGTCACATGATCAAAATTTGGGCAGTTGGCAACTGGCATGTACTGCATTCGTGTCAGTGGTGCTGTCGTGGGATCATGCGATCTGTCAACTCTAAAACGAGATTAGCTGAAGCCATCTTCCCTTAATTTTCAGTTCCCACTGAATTGGGAGGGGGGATGAGTGTTTTATCTTAGACATAACAATAAATTGTTCTGTGGGAACCAAGGTCATTGCTAACTGCATTTTGGCAAGCTATAGTTTCCATTACAAAGACCGCATAAGTAGTTAATTGGGGAATGTGGTTTATGACACACTACTGGGGTGGGAAGCTTAACTTCGTAATTTTGTAACCTTTGGGGGGGTTCAGTTTGGGGTTCACTTTTGAATGTGCCGTTATGTAGCTAAATAAAAATGTTCTTTAAGGAAATTGTTTTTGCCTTAGAGTCCTTTCTTTTTGGTCTCATCTTTTGGAACCAAGACACAATCACCATTTGCGACCTTCCCAGCTGGCTTGCCACAATGGAGTCATTTGTCTTCTCCAACCACCAGGACCGTGTCTCCATCCGGAAGATCTCCTAGATCAGGGGTCCTCAAACCTGGCCACTTTAAGACTTGTGGACTTCAACTCCCAGAATTCCCCAGCCAGCCATGCTGGCTGGGGAATTCTGGGAGTTGAAGTCCACAAAGTGGCCAGGTTTGAGGACCCCTGTCCTAGATCAATATTTTTCAAACTTGGCAACTTTTTGAAGGGTGGACTTCAACTCGCTGGCTGGGGAATTTTGAAAGTTGAAATCCATATGTTAAAAAATTGCCAAGTTTGAAAAACCCTGTCCTGGATACATACTTGATGAAGTTCTCAAGGAGAGAAAACACAGTCTTGGGGGGAAAATGGAATGAGGGGTGAAAACGTTAAACTTTGCCAGAAAAAGAATGTGAAGGGCCCAAGCAAAGGTTTTAAGAGCAGCTCATGATAAAGAAGGACAAAAGAAATATTAGGGGTGCTGAATAGAAACTCTGTGCAAGTTGATAACTTAAACATAATCACAATTAAAAAGGAAGGAAACCTAAATTTTAAAAATGCTTTACTGAATCCAACTTTTATGGGGGGGGAACACATGTCAGCCTTTGACGGTAGTCCAGACCAGCCAAAATCAAAACTATCAATACTACCTAAATGAGCCTATCATTATCATCATCAAACTTGGAAGGGACCTTGGAGGTCTTCTAGTCCAACCCCTGCTCAGACAGGAAACCCTATACTATTTCGATAAATGGTTGTCCAATCTCTTCTTAAAAGTTGTGAAGCACCCACAACTTCTGGAGGCAGGTTGTTCCACTGATTAATTGTTCTAACTAACAGGAAATATCTCCTTGGTTCTAGGTTAAATCTCTCCTTGATTCAATTTCCATCTGTTGCTTCTTGTCCTGCCTTCAGGTGCTTTGGAGAATAGGTTGACACCCCCTCTTCTTTGTGGCAGCCCCTCAAATACTGGAAGACTACTATCATGTCACCCCTAGTCCTTCTTTTCATTAGACTAGATATACTCAATTCCTGCAACCTTTCTTCATATAATTTAGCCTCCAGCATCCTAATAATCTTAATTGCTCTTCTCTGCACTCTTTCCAGAGTCTTTTTTATATCTAATAGTTCTAATAGTTCCCCCTTA